TATGCTTGATTTTTTTCATCCTGTAAATTTAATACTAGGAGCTTGTATTTTCAATGAGTGGCTTAATGTATGTAGTATTTCTGCTATGACTAGTAAGAGGCTGCTGCTGCTAAAATCAAAAACCTTTCCTTACAAGGATGAAAAAAAAATCATCCCTTTACAAGATCAGCCACTGTAGAAAACTGAATTCCAATCAGGAAGTTACAAAAATTAAAATGTCTTCTCCTTCCTACTTTATGGGGGTCGGGCTGCCAGGGGATTGTGCCCTCAAAATATATTTTTCTTGCCCCCACCCCCGCAAAAATGTATTTTGGTCTGTGGTTTTTAAGGAGTTTTTAAAAACTATCCTTGACACAATGATTGTGCTGTTTGATGGGCATAATTTGTGGACTGGGTCACAAATATGTGTTGTCAGAAAAGAAAGCAAGCCAGTGGATTTTCTGTTGGCAGAAGCTGTTTCTTAATCCTCACACTGTGTGAAGAATGCACATCTATGAATAACAAGCATTTTGCACATAAGAAAAAAGGCAGAATAATGAAAACACAAAAAGGAGAAAATAGCCATGCAAAACTGCTGTGACTTTAGATATGCAAATCTGTATTGGAATTTTGTCGCTCACAATTCCTGTTGTGAGTTTAAGGTATGTTCCTACAGTTCTACAAAATACTTTGGCTGACTTTTCTGTCCAAGGAATACAAATGAGAAAGCAAGGGAAGTTTTGACCAAATTATTTTTGAATTTTTGAAAGCCAACAGAGAATTAATATAAAGAAAAGCATAAAACATTAACTCTTTCTCCATCTAGAATAGTGATGTGCAGGCTCTTTTTTAATGCCCCAAACATGAAAAGAAGGCATTTACTCCCAAAAACAGAACAGAATGAAAATATGGAAAGAGGAAAAAAATAAGGTCATCGTTCTTTAAGCAAGGAATTAAAAAGTTATGGAATGTCACTTTTCCTAAATAGGTTGGAAAAATTAACATTCTGTGAAATTTTGAAAAGACAAATTTAAATATGCTGAAATATATTATTTTGGTTTGTACAGTTCGCTGAATGAACCTTTTAAGCCAACAACAGGCTTGTCATATTCCAAGGTGGTAACTATGTATGGTTACAAGGCTCACACTCACCTGTGAGCTATGCCCCAGTGAGCACAGTAGGGCTTACTTTGGAGTAACCATGCACAGGGACTGGTTTGTACAAGCAATCAGGCTGCTTGTGGCAGAATGAAGACTAATAGATAAAACTAAGTCAAGATTTAGCCTATAACAAAACTGCAAGTCTGGAGTGCCACAAGATTCTTTAGGATGTTTTAATCATTTCCAGAGTTGCATGTGATTTTAAAATTATGTTAAAAACTACTGGTCTATATAAGCCATGAGAATTTTCTCTTACATCGGCCAGGATAAAAATTAAGGGGTAAGCCTAAACAGATCCATGTTCCACTAGTTTCAGATGCAGAGTAAGACTGCAGTTCTAAATACACTGTCCTGGGAGTAAAGCATTAAACATAGTGAGATTTATTGCTACGCTTATTTCTATACTTATGATTGCACTGTGTTACCAACTCTACAACCTAGTGGGTTGATTTCAACATATTGAAATCATTTGGACTTAAAGTGCTTAAATTTCTCCCAATCATATCCTGTCCTTTGCTTTCCTTCTTTTTTAAGGAGAATGCTAAAACATGGGGAACCTCTTCAACCATTATTAGGTGGTTCTGGACAAAACTTGCAAGTAGAAATTTTGAAAATCTGTCTGAAACAGGATACTGGATTACTTTGGAATCCCACACATAGTCAGCTGGAAGTAAGCTGTACTGGAATCCATGGGTCTTAATTCTGAGTATGGCTAGGAGCACACTATTAATCTGATAGCTGTTTCTATTTCTTACAAGGGCAAAAACACAACATGGAAATAAGTCAAAGTAAGGATTATTAAGGAACTTGCACACTGGAAGACTGGTTATAAAGAAGCTCTCCGGAAAGTTTTTCAGTGAATTAGGTCTTAAATGCCTGCCAACAGGACAGCTTTCCAGAGCCTGGGGTCCTCCAGAGGTGGTAGACTGTAACTCCCATCATCCTCAGCCAACAAAGATGGAAATTTTTGTATAACACAATTGGAGGGCAACAGGCTAGGTTAAAGCTGCAAAAAGGTTGTAACTGGAGAAGAACAGCATTCCATCCCTACTAATCATGACAATTCCCTTTATTTGTAGTCCTGTCTTCCTCACCCCAGCTAAAGAAATTCACATTCCCAGCCACTCTTTCTTCTTCCTTCACCAGGTCCTTACATCAGTGTGGTACCCTGAACTGTAAGAAAATACATCAACTCTTCACCCTCTGACTCTTACTTTCTATTGTTTGTTCATTTTGGGCTTCTCTGACATCCTTTCTCAGCATTTGTGTGCTATGTGCACTGTGTCTATATAAAGAAGGGAAGGAATGAAGAAAAAATAGCATTCATACCTCACTGTGAAGTTTGCATACCTGCAGTGGAGACAAGCACATTCTAAAGATGCCTTGTGCATTAGCTGAGCTGACCAATATCAAAGCAAAAAGACACACAGAATGCATAAACGATGTCGAATGGCGAGGGGACAAACACTCTCAGGTATCTAATGTTCACCACTGGTGACATGAATTGTTTTATGCATCCAGTTTTTGCTGTGAGTGAATAAAAGCCCATATTCCACACCCACTTTCTTTTGCAGTCATGGTATACTTCAAAACAAAACAAAATGGGCACAATCCACCAGGGTGAAATTTTCAGAGAGCTTTCCTTAGAAATAGATTATAGACAAAGGCACTGGCCTAATGCAGCACTTAAGTTCATCAACCCTGAGGCTGAACACTCTCTCATGCTGAACTGACTTCACTCAACCCAAATAATTAAAAACTAATTGCAGTCTTCTAGGATAGAAGGGAGCAGGAAATCAAGGCAACTACATCTGACTAATGCACAGAGTTTCAATACCAATGAGGTAAAGTGGTGTGTAACCCCTTCCCCATCCCCCTTCTTTTCCCCTCACACAAAAATACACCTTCTATGTCATTTCCAAACACAATAAATTATTTTTTAAAAACACCTAAACACACAGTAACTCCTAATCCTAACTATATTGTTGTTTGTCTTTAGAAAAGCAAGCAAGCAAGCATGTTGATAAATAAATCACTTCAGTTCCATGCTTCTATGGCTGCCATTAGCCAAAGTCATCACTACGTTGAGCATGATCTTACATGGTTGTGAATGCACACACAGTGAAATCTGGGTACAGGAATCCACAACTGGTCCCAATGTCTAAAGTGTTGAAGAAATGTGATCTTTCATAACAGTTGCTGGTGCATATGTTCTTCTTTGTTTTACCTATCTTCTCTCACTCTAAGGATGGTGATACACCCAAACTTTCCCCCTTAATACACAGTGGTAATCCTCCAATGCACTGCAGGACACATGTGTTTTTCCCTCCTCAGATATTATCAAGTGTAACAAAAATGTTACATGCAACGTAAGCCTAAAGGCATGTTTACATGCTTCTTTTCTTAACTGGAGAAAATGCAAAGTTGCAATGCAGGCAGTCCTCAAGACCACACCCTCCAGGTGCTTTTGCCTGCCCTGGTCGACTCAGCTGCAATAGCATAAAGTGGGCTCAGCACAAGATTTTCTAGAGTGTAATACTTCCTGTTCCTCCAACTGGGTCAGTGAAGTAGAACTGTGTGTGTAAGAGAGTGCCATGCTGATGTGCTACAGCAGTTTGTCCAGGTTGGGGAGTAGGTGTCAGTTGATAAGTCTTTCATCTGATGAGCTTGTTTCCAAGTACAAAATTATGCTGACACGATAAGAAACTTCTGTTTATGACTGATGCTCTGAGACAAGCAAATTATCAGTGATGGCTGCAGGTTTCATCCAAGCATGCTTCTCACAAGATAAATGTGTCTATAACATGACAACTTGGATATGAGAAATGGGCAACACAGATTATCTATCCTGGATAGGTCTAACCTCTGACACAGAAAGACTATCACTTGATGTTTCATGATACAAATGTCCAAATGTAACTTGGCTTCAGCAAGGCAAAAGAACCAATGGATGGATTCAGACCAACAAGCATTTTCTCCTTATCCATGATTATTGTTACACTCAACAAATGGTGACAGTGCATTGGTGCTAGGTTGTCTGATCTGGTCCAATGGACCCCTCTGCCACAAGGTTATCAAAGAAACAAATTTGTGAGATGTAGATCCAAAAACAGCCTATGTAATCTCCATGCTGGGTGCTACTGCTAAATCCTCAAGACTCCATTAGAGCCTAAAAAGACAATGCAGGACTCATCCATGAATGTACAAAATGTAATCACAATATCCTTTGTTTCAAAAACCCTGAAGCTAACTAGAATCTGATAATCTGAGATTTAAAGACCAGGATTTGCAGTTATACCTGTGTAGACACCAGTTCCTACTTTCAGCAAATACGAGGGTGACTAACAAGCCAGACTGTAGCAGATGCTGGGTCTTGTAGTATCTACAAAGTTGCACCCCTCTATCACAAATGAACACCTTTATTTTATGACTCCACCAAGCTTCAGATTCCAAACCTTTAGTTAAACTGCAACTCAGCAGGATAAACACTTAAGAACAAAGAGATACCCCTTAATCTCAGGTAACAGTATAGCTTTCTCAATGAACTGTTTTCCTAGAAGCAATGTTTCAGTTTCTTTTGCCTCAACACCTCAACACAAGGATCGCAAAAAAAATCTCATCACACCAGTCTCCTTGTCTTAAGGACAAAACATTCCTTGGTTCCCTTTTGGGAAGGGAAGGGGGTATATTTTGCTTGCATCTGTTGTGGTCATTGGACTGCACTATTATGCCTCCTCTTCTACTATGGGCCAAGAACGTTGCCTAGTCAAAACAGGGTGCAATTTGTTTCCCTTCTGCACTGCTTTAAAGGGGCACTAAACTTGATATATCTTCATCTGGTAAGTCTTGACTTCTGGACTTCATCTCTTCCTGAAGTTCTGCTCCAACCAAAGTCGAACTTCCTGAAGGTTGTAGAAAAAGGGACCCTTGCCCCCTAGGTAGGCAATTTTTTGTCTTTGTACAATGCACACACGCTCAAAAGAGACTCCATAGGCCACGTTGGCATTATTATCCATGCAGTCAGCTACTATCTGGCATTGAGGTGGCAAGGAAAACTGCTTCAGAAGCTGGCGAGCTGCTGCACATCTGTCTTCTTGGTTCCTATGTTTCTTCACGTCAAAAGAAGATGAGATACCAGGAGCAGCCCAGCCATCCGATGGGTGAGCCTCATCAATGTAGACTAACAGAAAGTCAGCCACACCAGAGAACTCTTCCACCAGCTTGCCAAAGGCTGACAGCTGGTTTGTGAAGGGTGGTCAGGTGGCTGAGCCAAAGTTGACCACCAGCGGGCGCTCTGATTTGGCAAAATCTAGGAGGTGGCACTCGGTACCATATCTTCCACTGGAGCCCTTCCATCTGCTGTTGCTGTCACCAGTGCCATTAGGTATGTGGATCACACTGGAGTTAGGAGCTTCTCCGCCCAGTTTCACCTGATGTTTAAAACAAAGATGTGATACATTACTGTGATGTGCTGCCAGTCGTCTTACATGCTCATCCTCACTAAACAAGTGACTGTCAGCTGCCCTGCTAATACTGTGTTTTCATTATAAAAATGCTGTGGGAATCCTTGTTGCTTTCACCTAATGATATAAGGAGAGTATATTCTCCTACTGATTTGAGCTCTATGACTGACTCTGTCAATTAACTTGGGCAACTACATTATTTGCCCCTGCTTCTTTGTCTTGAACACTACAAATAACAATATTTAGCATTAACTGATTTCTGAAAATGAGGTTTTCTGCATTTTTGTTGGAGCTGTACCATTTTCACTAGAAACTGAAACTCATTTCATAGTCCAGTCACAACTTTTCTGAAGTTCTGTTATCAAACCATAGTTCCATTTGTTTCTCCCCCAACTCCTTCTTAGGTTTAGATCATTACAGAGAGGTTTGCCATATTGCTGTGGTGGTAACTGAAGGGTTTATGACAGAACAGTCACCAAACAATAACGGAGCATATGCCTTTCTGTGCGTATGTTCTTTTTATTATTAGACTGATATCCCACTTTTTTCTTACACTAAAATCAAAGCAGCTTAAATCACTCTCCCCCTCCTGCTCTCAGTCTTATCCCCACAACAGCAGCCCTGTGAAGTAGGCTGGGTTGAGAGTCTGTGACTGGCCCAAAGTCACCCAGGTGGCTTCATAGTCAAGCATGTATTAGAACCCAGATCATCTGACAGTTCCACACTCTTAACCACTACACCACACCTGCTCTCTCTATATTGACGATAGATGATAGAGCTGGTTATTCTGAATAAATCAGTGTCTTCAGTGGTATGTGTTCTTTGAAAAGGCAGAAGCAGAATAGTGTGTCTAGGTACTAGGTATCGTTGCCTCATGTACAAGCTATCATTTTAGTCATGAGAGCTAGAAACAAGTTTTAAAATCAAAGCCAAGGAGTCTGCAATAAATCTTATTCCTTTCAATTGCGTTGCAACCCCATGAATTCAAGAAATATGAAGTCTAGCTCAGGAGTAGGCAGCATATGACTCTTGCCAACTTCTGAGATGTTTATAAAGGTCAATGGTTTGCCATTGAAATTGCCACTACGGAGGCTTCCTAAGCGCAAAGTTTGCTTGAACATATTCACTTTGCCTTAGAGAGCCTCTACAGCAATTTGCTACCAAATGTCAGTCACAAATGGATTTTTTTAAAAATGCTGCTGCCAACACCATCCCACCAAATAGTATCCATGCAATGGGCACTGTGAGTAGAAAATTAGCTCCTGTACCACCTAAAGTTCCACATCTTTAGTCTAGCTTAAAGAGTTCAGGCAACAATGGAAACAGTTTTGCTTTATTACAGGACAAAAAGAGTTTGTGGATTCATATGTCCTACCTCTGCAATTACGTTCCTCTACTCCAAGGCATCCTCTATTTGAAAAGCTGTGTCTAGTTATATTAACAGTCAGAAGAACAGAAGAGACCTTGAGGTGGCCTATCAACAGTTAGTTACAGGGACAGACTGAGTGACAGAAGATCACCCAATCACAGTCTTTCTCAATGTATTTCTATTTACATTACTGCAGTTGCATCTATATGTATTAGTTGGCATCTACGAATGTCACCCTAATCTCTCTTCTCTTTCATGGTGGCCACATTAGAATGAGCATGTGTTATGTATATGAAGCTTAGTTCAAAGTCCAGACACTGCTGCTGATGAGTAAGGATGTGTTTGTATAAACAGCTAACTCAAAATAAAAGCCCCTTTGATGACATGATTATTCCCTGCATTTCTTAGACTCATGAAAAAAACATGCAATTTATTCTACCAATTGTGACAAAGTAAAACAGGAAATTCCCAGATTTCTGAAGGATCACTAAAGTATATTTTGTAAAAAGAGAAAGAGAGAATGCATTTACTGTTTCAAAGGATAGCCAAGCACTGGGTGCATGGTAACTCTAGGGAAAGCCTATGCTGAAGGTGCAATGCTATCTGTGTTTAGGCAGAACAAGTGCTAAGCACACTCCAACCATGCCCCCGCCAGCATGAACTGCCAGCCCATGGTATATGTACATCTGCTACCACATGTATGATATGCTTTTAAAACGTTACTCCATTCACTCAAAATCAAGTTTTCCCTACAGGTATCCCATTTCAGATGGTCATATAAATGGGGGCTGCTGTTTGCTATTTTGAAAAGATAAGCAGGAAAGGAAAATCCATGCAATGGTGTCTTCATGTCATGTTCTTCTCTTAGTACTACTTTATGTGAACCTAAAATGAATAGATTCTCAAAAACCTGGAAGGAAAGGTGTGAGGGAAAGGACATGGCTCTGTAGGACATTCTTTATCATTTGGTCTTTCAAGTACTAACTGCTTTGGTATCAAGGCATTGGTTTAATTATGTTGCAACAATGGAAGAGTGTTCTCTGGGTCTCCCTCCCAAACAAAGTACCTTACAAACTGAGGGGTGAAGATTGACTTTGGAAACAAAATGGCTGGTTTCACATCATCATATATCTGGAAAGTTACCAAGCCATCTTCTGGTATGGGTAGCATCACTGAATTTCCCACAGCAACAAAGGAAATCTCATGGCCACAAGTTACCTATCGTGTTAATTTTTTGCTAGTAGGAGTCCTCGTGTTTGTTTGGAGATTTTCTTCTTAATGAGAAAGGCTTGCCAAGCAGACATTCACAAGGCCTCCTCTGCTCTTGCAGGGAGTAATTAGGTCGGTGCCTTGTTCCGTGCTAGCATTAGCTACTCCAAAAAACCAACCCTGCCCAGTAGTTAATGCTCAGACACAACCAGCAGCATCTCCTGCTAATTGGTCTTGATGAAGCTCTAACATTCCCAAAGGGCCTCTTTATTCTAGCAGGCTCAAGAATGGGACTGACATCCACTTCATGAGGCTTTTTTGTTTCTTTGTTGTTGTTATTCATTATTGAAAGGGGGGGTGGAATTAGCTCTTGGAAAGATACCCACAACACACCACAATGAAATGTCATCCAAAAAAAAAATTAAAATTATTGCTCTGCCAAACCTCTTTTGAAATTACAGACAAAGGCAGGCAAGAGAGCTGTTCTGAGAAACAAACCCAGAAAATTTCACTCACACGCAATAACTCTGGCTCCAGAGTTCCTATAATCATGGATTTCTCTGCTAACCAGTCAGCTACCAGTCAGTGTGCCTGCTATGGGGATGGGTAAAATATCTGTCTATGATTTTCTAAGCCTCTTCCACTAGGAGGATGGGAAGTTGTCCTTCGACAACTACCTCAAGTAATCCATCTTCAAAGAAGTTACTGTCACACACCATCTCAACTCAGCATTGTCCCATTGATCATGATCATTAGGTTCATAATAAATAAGAGGGAGTATTAATCCACCCTATACATTGCTCACTTAAGGAAAAGATGGCTTCAGAAAGGAGCAGACATTTCTGTAGAGAATATTAGCAACTAGATACTTCAAATGAGAACTGCACATTTTGAGGCAATCTGTTACTCAGTGCCAGAGACTGGGAATAAACACTGACTGTCTATATCACTACCTTGCCCAGCTTGTGACTCCTGATAAACCCTAAGCATCCTGCTGGCTATTTAGAGAGAGAGCTGGACTATTTGTACATTAGGCCTATCCTGGATGTCTAGTTAACTGCCCGGACTCAAGGAATCTCACTGTGAAACTGCACTCGGTGGCAAGGGCATGAGGAGAGTCGCTTTTGCATGCAGACTGAAAAATGAGGTGGCAGAGGCAGGGGGAAAAAGGGACCCATTCATAAGCTGCTGACTAGAAATAGAACTTACCACTGTAGTAACATTGTTCATTTAACACCCATGAACAAAGCATCACAGCATTTACACTTTTTAATCCTTATTTTAAGGGATAAAATCACAAGTCTCTTCAGATCCTGCACACTGATGTTTTTTAAGTCCATCATTAAAGACCTCTGAGCTCTGTGGCAGGCTGTGTCAACTCCTTACAGAAAATAGATGTTGCCAGATAATTAGCAGGCTGCAGCACTGGCCGTTTAAACACAGACATGGTGTATTAGGGCTATGTACAGAATTCCTCTGAGCGGTCAAATACTTCTGAGAACTTGTCTTTGATTTTGTTCCATTCACAGACATCCAAGCTCTTAGGAGCCTGCCATTTCACAGTGATCCATCCAAATTTTTGTCAGCCCTTGGCAAGGGAACAATTCATAGTCACTATTGCGTTTTTCCTGCATGTCCCAAAGTTATGCTAAGTGGCCCAGAAACATGCAACTTGTATGTAGTCCCTGCAAAGTCACACCCATCAGTACAAAGCAGCTGGAAGCTGTCAAGTCAAATATGCCCTTCGCCAAATGCAATCTGCATGCCAGTTCCCAAATGTCATCCTCACTCCCATGCTCGTACTAGTTGCTTCCACCTGTCCCTCACCTCCCACCTCAAATCATGTTATGCTAACTACAATCAGGCTTTGCACTTGTTGTGTTTCACGTAAATGAACAAAACGTATCTGTAAGTAGAAAAATGGATCACAATGAAGCACGGAGCACTTTTCACCTGGATCTGTCTCTCGGCCTCTTAGCAGCAGTTCTCCTGGATGAGAACACCTCAGTCAGTATGAAATGAAGGTGGACACTGTCTGTATCAGTACAGAAAGAGAGCAACGTTTCTCAGGGACTGTATCAATGAAGCTGGAAAGGTCAATGTGGAAGAACTGTATATTGTCTCAAGTCCATGATCAAGATCTTCCCTACCAGCCTCAGTGGATCTGGGGGAAGTCACAGGAATGAGCACGTTCCCAGGCACGACACCCTGAGAGTGAGCTTGTCTACCCTCCCCAAACTACACAAGAAACCATTTGTGGAATTGCTTTTTTAAAATAGTTTGTGAATGTTTGTGCCTGGATATCCTACAGAGATTAATTCTGCATAATCTCAGTTGTGTACAAGCACAGCACTCTTAATGTCAGCTTGGGAGAAACTACTCATTGTTT